AAGTTATTCTAAGAGGTACACTTTCATTTCCAAAAGCAGATTGATAAAAAAGCATCCTACTGACCTTTTGTCGCAGTATGAAAATTTTAGTAAAAATTATATTTTTGAAGCTAAAATGGAAATTATTTAAGCTATCTGAAATGGAAAGATTGACAAAACTATCCCATGAAATTTCTACCTTATCTAAGTCACTCCTCTACTTTTCCATGTACTAGCTGTAAGTTGTGGATTAACTAAATTTTAAATCAAATGGTCACTCTAGAAATGATAATAAATTTTGTCAAAAGGCATAAATATAGAAAATATACAGGCATGAGCATTTAGGTTTGATTTGGATGGTAAAATGTTGGGCCATTTAATTTTCTTTTGCTTTCAACATTTTCCAACATGAGCATGTGTGTTCAGCTGGGTTTTCTAGAGAAACAAAGCCAGGTGCACTCAAGGATGTATTAGAAATAGGTTAATATCAAGAAAGCAATTTACATCAAGGAAGCAATCCAGCCTAGTCCAACTCAGGTCCCTGGGTCACGTACCACCAGCAAGAGCCACCTACAGATTTACATAGCTGCCCATCAGGGAAACCTGAAGGGGAGGCAGGAAGCAGGTAGATCACAGGCTGGTGGATACAAAGTTGTAGAGGGACAAGGTCGATTGGGACATGTCAGGGCATTTCCCTGCCATGGTTAGCAAGCCACATATATCAAGCAACTCCAGGGTTAGACGCAGAACCCAGGCAAGTAGGAAGGAGAAGAGGAGCAAAGTTCTTCAAAGTATCTCATTAAAAAAGACCACACCTTCAAGGATATATCATTAGGCTATGTCCTGATTGAGAGGCTGGATTCAACCCATGTCTTTGGTGGACTAAGTTCATACAAAATCTGATCATTCCATGTTATCTTTTGAATTAAGAACTACGTTTCTAGCAGAATTCACTTCATTTTTTACGTGCTTTCTAACCACTAAAACCAAACCAAACGCACTACTCTGGAATCAATACCAACTCATAGGAGCCCTGGTGTCATAGTGGCTACAAGTTAGGCCACTAACAGAATGGCAGCAGTTCAAAACCACCAGGTGCTCCCTCAGGGAAAGATGAAGTTTTCGCCTCGGTGTGGTGGTGTCGGATCGGGCACAGTTTCCACACTGTGTCTCCAGTGTTGTCCCCGTGGCACTATGGGTCAGTGATCTGATACCACCCACACCAAGGTGAAACACTGAGGGCATGCAACAGAGCCAAAAATAGACTGTGGGCCCAGCGTGTGGCACCCCATCAGACGTGACCAGATAACACTCCTAAAAGTCAATTTACAAACCTTGAACTATTTATAGGCTTTTCTTTTTCTGTTGTTTTTGTTTTGTTTTCTTTTGTTATGCTCTGTCCTACTTTTGTGCATGTTTTGTTTCTGCATGTCTATCTAGATAACATAGGCAGGATAAATAATCTGAAGGAGAAAACAATGGGACCAATGTTGTTGGGGGACATGGGAGAGGGAGAGGTGAGAGAAAGTTTTGAAAATGATGATTGCAACAAATGTACAAATGTGCTTGACACAATGGATGGATGGATTGTTATAAGAACTCTAAGAGCCTCCAATAAAATGATTAAAAATAAAAGATGAAGCTTTATACTCCTGCAGAGTTAGTGTCAGAAACTCACAGGAGCAATTCTCCACTGTCCATTAGGGTCACTCTTGGTTGAAATGGACTCACAGACTTTTTATAAAAAAATGTTTTTAATACTTTTATTGGGGACTCTTACATCTATACAAAAATATTTTTTCATAGCAAAAATAGCTTAATATGTGAAATATTAATAGCATCAATCTTGTGTTGAAGGCTTATGGGTGATTTTTCTTTTCTTTTTTATTTAATCGTTTTATTAGGGACTCATACAACTCTTATCACAATTCATACATACATCAATTGTATAAAGCACATTTGTACATTCATTGCCCTCATCATTCTCAAAACATTTGCTCTCCAC